TGTATTTAAGAGTCTCTTGTGGTTTGCCTCCCTCCCTCTCTGTTTATAACAAATTTTTCCCCTTCCCTTCCCCCATGGTCTTCTGTTAAGTTTCTCAAGATCCAAAGTAAAAATTATCTTAACAGTCTATCATAACATTATACCTATCTTGAAGAATATTCTAGGTAGGACATGAAATGTCTTCTTCTTTATTCTGTTGATTGTATGTGTAGACTTTGACTGAAGGACAGTCTGTTTCTAATCTTTTGCTGTTAGAAATAGTGCTTTGATTATTATAGTGCACTGTTAATACCAGCTGCTTCTGAAGTCCTGAGGAGGGAAGAGGGGGTGAGGGCACTGGTAAGACCCTGTAGCGAACTCCCACTTGAGTTGATGAAATTGGAGGGTAACTTCGCATCTTGCTTTAGGTGCTTGCGGGCCCAGTGGAGTCTGTTAGAGGGTCGGTGAGTTTTTTGGCTTCAGGGGCTCCTCCCAGTCAGGGACAGTCGAGCCACTGTGCCAGCTCACACCCTTCACTGTCTTCCTTCCTCCCAGATCTGGCCTATGGCTCTGTGATAACCGTGAAGAACCTGCGGATGGCCATCGGCTATCTCCACTCCCACAGGCACCTCTACCCCGAGGGCATCGGCGCCCGCCAGCAGCAGGTCAGAGAGCCTTTTGTATTGCAGCAATACCAGAGTGTTTCATGTGACTGAACCCGCTGTTCTTTCTTGCCCCGCTGTCCTTTACCTTCGTTGTTGTTTTCCCCACTTGAAACAGGCTTCCTCCTGCACCCTCCTGCTCTTTCCTCTAGCTAGCTCCAGCTTCTTGAGACTTCAGCGTAGGTGTTCCCTCTGATTACCATGACCCACCTCCACTCGATACTGTGGTAGGTGCCTCTCGCATGAGAGGCTTGCCTGGCATGCTTTGTAAGCCTATGTGATAACTCTCTCCACATTGAGTTGTGAGTGCTTCCTTCCGTCTCTCTGCTACTTGATGGCCACTTCCTGATGGTGCAAGCACCTAGCACAGTGCCTGGCATGCCATGGATGATGAGTCAAGTATTGTGGTTACAAACACAGACCTGGGAACCAGACTAGATTATCTGGGTTTGAATCCTGGTTCCACTAGAATATGACTTTGAGCAAGTTACTTAACCTTTCTGTGCTTCAGTATCCTCATCTTTAAACTGAGGAAAATAAATAGTGCCTTTCTCCATCATGGCATTGCTGTGTAGATTAAAAGTATGAGATAATATGTGTGACATGCACACTGGGGGATTAGCCATGACTATTACCTGAGTGAGTGACACTGTGTCCATGTCACGGTGTCGGGTGTGGCTGTGGTGGACAGTGCCTGAGAGGGAGGAGCAGGATGTCGGGAGAGTTTGGGGAGGCCAGGTTGTGTAGAGGCCTTCCATGTTACAGTAGATTTGATTTTGTTCTGTGGACACTGGTGAGGCGTTGAGATTTATTAAGGCATGATAATATGTGATTAGATTTTTAGGTTAGAAAGGTAACTCCAGCAGGAGGGTAATGGATTGAAAGGAAGAACAGACTGGAGGCAAGGAACCAGTTAGGGTGCAATAATCATGACAGAGGATAATGAATGGAGGCAAAGACCATGGATAGAGGTGGGAATTGATTCAGGAAACACTTTACAGGTCAAGTGTTAGAGCCCCCAAACTGGTGGCTGTCAGGGATGAGCTATGTCTAAGTCTGTAGGTTGGTCAAGGTGTATGTGTGATAATGCTATTTCACCGTAGTCAGAAATGGAGGAGGAAGAATAGCTCTGGAGATGACTTTCCTTTGTGTATTTTAGGTTGTGGGCTTGTCTTCAGGAAAGAGATCTGAGTGTGTAGCACATGGGTGTCAGCAACACAGAAGGATGTGTGGCATTGCCTCAAAAGGGTGTGCAGAGGGAGGAGAGCCAGCGAAGGAGCCCTAGGGAGCAGCAATACTTAGGCAGTGGTAAGAGGTGCTCCCAGGGGCACTAGTAGAAGAGGCTGAGAAGGAAGTTGTGAACAGGGAGGTTGGAGGAGAGTACAGGACAGACAGTGTCCCCAGGAGAGGGGTGGTCAGCAGTTCAGGTGCTGCAAAGGCCTCAGAGAAGGTGAGGGCTAAGAAAGAGGTCTTTGGATGGCAGTAAAGGGCCTCGTAACTAACTGAGATCACTTCTGAAAAGTGGTGGGGCCAGAAGTCTCAGCCACAGTGACAGGGAGTGGAGGGGAGGGGAGGTGTGCAGGCTCCAGGGCAGGCTGTTGTTCTGAGAAGCTGGGAGTGACATTTCTCTTCCTGAAAAATGACCAGTATCTTTACTTTGCAAAAAAGTTTTGCTTTTCAAAATTCCTTATTATTATTTCCTTAATTTACTAGTGTACCAGAAAGTTGACCCAGAGTGTTGGGTGTCAGTATCAGTTTCTCATTCCTGATTCTCCATTTGTTTCTAGCACTTTAGAACCCACTGGAGAGCTTTTAAAACATTCTGATGCCTGGGCACCACACAGCACCTCTGACTCCATTAATCTGGGATGGAGCCCATTCGTTGTGCCTTTGTTTTGGTTTGAGGCTCTCCAGAAGAGTCATTATGTACAGTCAGGGCAGAAAACCATAGCTCACCCTTCTATGGGGAGCTGCTGCTATCTTGTACAAGGTAAAGTTACAGACATGGTGGCTAGGAACATCTACACTGTACAGAGGGAGAGAAGGACCCTGTCATGCTAGTCCTAGGGTTACACACTTGTGGCCCATACATGGAGGTGTGATGTCATGATGGTAGTGTGGAGAGAGCGTGTGGGGGCCAAGGAGTGGACGAGTCTGGCTCTGTCATGTCCTAATCACACTAAGCCTTTCTGAGCCTGTTTCTTCATCTGCCAACTGGGGGATTGGACTAAATCACCTCTAGTGACCCTCACTGCCCTGGGATTTAACGTCTTGTCAACAACTCTAAGTGTCCATTTTTAAATATTAAAAAAAAAAGTTTTTTTTAATGTTTTATTTATTTTTAAGAGAGAGAGAGAGAAAGACAGAATGAAAATAGGGGAGGGGCAGAGAGAGAGGGAGACACAGAATCCAAAGCAGGCTCCAGGCTTTGAGCTGTCAGCACAGAGCCCGGGTACAGGGCTTGAACTCATGTTCTGCGAGATCACGACCCGAGCCGCAGTCAGACACTTAATCGACTGAGACACCCAGGCACCCCTAAATATTTTTAAAGTATAACATTTATAAAATTGAGAAATATAGAAAAGTAAAAAACGAAACAAAAACAAAACCAAAAAACCCCCAAAAGATAAAAGCTACACATAATTCTGGAAGATCAGTTTTTATCCACATGACTTGGTGCACAACATTCTGTTGTTAGAGGATACCAGCGTTTCTTGGAGACCTCATGTTATTGAAAAATGCATTGTAAAACAAATGTTTGGCTGGGAAAAAGAGGCCGTGGACTATACTCACAATAAAGAAGTAATTTTTCTTACAGGAATTTTACTAATAATAGGTTTTATTTAAAAAAATACACAGAGTACACACACATAACCACCAGAAAAATCTTAAGATCCATAAGCAAATCTAAGGTGGACTCTGTATATCTGTGTTCAGGAGTATGGACTTACTTTCTCTATGGCTGCCAAAATATTTTAGTTTCTTGTATATTCTTAATACCATTAGTCCTAATTTTTTTTTTCTGAGAATGTAAAAGCCACCAAAACAAATTGGCCATAATACATGCATATTTTTTTTCCTTAAATGCTAATTCCAAATCTCTTTGCAAGTAAATCAGTCATGTTTTGTCCAATTGGAGTTATAAAAACTCACTTTGTAAGTATTTCTGTTGTCTCTGGGTATTTATGTTCTTGTTTACATAATTGGCATAATTGTTTGTTAGATGGTCTCTATCCTGGGAGCATTGGAATTAGCTGCCTTGGTTTGAATCATGTCTCTCCATTGATAGGCTGTGGTGACCTTGAACAAGTTACTTAATCTTAGTTTCCTTATAATTAAGGTGGGGATAACCAAAGTACCTATAGCATGGAGATAAGACGTGCCTGGTGCTTAGAATAGTACCTAGTGATAAATGGCAGCCATTTTCAGCATCAGCATTTTATAAGCCTTTTTCTATGCTGGTAAAAAATGCTCAGAGACGTTTCCTGTGGCTGTGTAATATTCTGTCCTGGGACATACCATCATGTTAACTATTCCTCTAGTGACATTTATACTGTTTTCAAATTTTTGCTGTTAGATTCATCACAGTGTTACAGGCATGTTCACATGCATACACACACATTTAATTTTTAAAAAATCTGTATATAGGATGGCTGTGGGCTAAAACTTCAGGCTTCTAGGATGAGATATTTATGGAGCTTTTTAGTTTCATTTGGCCACATTCTAGAAAATATAGCATGAATTTTTCATTTAGAAAGTTTGAGGCATGGTCTTAATTACTTTTTTTTTTAAGGTTTTTTTTTTTTTTTTTTTTTTTTTTTTGAGAGAGAGTGTGTACATGTGAGGGAGGAGAAGAGAGAGGGAAAGAGAATCCCATGCAGGCTCTGTGCTGCAGAGCCTGATGTGGAGGTTGAACCCACGAGCAGTGAGATCATAATCTGAGCAGAAATCACAAGTTGGACACCTAATAGACTGAGCCACCCAGGCATCCCTTAATTACTTCTTAAAATGCACTAAATCCTCTTTGTATGCTGGAGACTATGTTATACAAGGTATCATGGCTCCTCCTCTAGGTGGCTGAAACTTTAAAGACAAGATGCAGAAAGATATGAAGAGACAAATCAAAAAGGCTGTTGTGGGAGAAACCTCTAAATGCAGATGGAAGGAGAGAATCTTACCAGTGTTACTTCTGAACCCCATTGGGAAACATGGCCTCTCGGGTCAGCAGCTCGGGATTCTGAAAGAGGCTTAGGCAATGTTGATTTGTTGTTGATTGTCCTGTGGCTGTGCCGATAGTGATGGTATTCTCCCCCCTACCTCCTCCCACCCCTTCCCCTCAGGTCACCACCTATTTGCACAAGGACTACAACAATCTGTGGATTATCAAGAAACATAATACAAATGCAGGTAATACGGTAGGGAACTGAGTGATGTCTCTTGTGTTATTGCTCACTCTGAGCCATTTTTAACATTTCTCATGCCTTCAAATGGTACAGAGGTGGGCTCTCCTGATCATTCTTGGGCAATACCTTTACTGAGGTCAATTATCCTTTCAACAGTTATTTTTTGAGCACCTACTATGTTCCAAGCACTGCAGTCAACATAGGAGATAAGCAGTGAGCAAGACGGATAAGATCTCACTCTTGACAGCTGTCATTTTGAAGCTAGAGAGCGGGGCCAAGGTTCAGGCTTAATCCAGAACTGGTTGCCTGGACTTGCTGCCAGGGGCTGGTCAAGTAGCCCCAACTGAGGGCACATGGTAGCTGCTGTCCTTTCTAATTGAGAGCACACCAAGCCTTGCAGACCCCAGCATATGGTGCAGCTCAAGTTGTCTTGATCTGAGGGCCTGTGGCTGGGTTCATCTAGCCTGGTGCTTAGCCCCTCACTCAATACCTGCTGGCCTGCCCCTGATTGGCCTGGGCAGAGCTGCTCTGAAGCACACTTAATGGGCTCTCAGGACTTTATGACATGGGCTATATCTGGATCTTTCTTTGGTCAGTGATCTAGCTACCTGCAGGCTGTGCCTTCTGCTACAGCTAGGAAGAGAACAGAGGGCATCTCCTGCTCACCTTCTGAGCCCCTGCTGATTGTCCTATGTCACAGGCGTTCTCTGTGACTCCTCAGTAAACACCACCTGGCTCAGCCTGTCTTGAGTCAGCTGCTCCTGAGCGTTTGTGTGGCAGTGGGCGGCTATTCATCTAAACTCACCTTCTTTGTTCCTTTCCCCAACTCTTCTTGCTGTGGTCTTGAGACTAGAAATGTGGCACACACAACCACTGTTTTTGCCTCCTACTCCTCAGTGATATATGTTGTGACACCACTGGTCAGAGTCTGTTTGTATACCTTTATAATACCAGTATTGATTGTTTTCATCCAACAGGATAAACATAAGTGGTCTATCACAATGAGGGGTTGTAAGGCAAGACCTCTTTCTTTTTTTTATTAGATTTATTAATTTTTGAGAGAGAGTGAGACAGAGCGTGAGCGGGGGAGGGGCAGATAGAGAAGGAGACACCGAATCTGAAGCAGTCTCCGGGCTCTGAGCAAGCGTTCAGCACAGAGCCCGACATGGGGCTCAAACCCACGAACCGTGAGATCATGACCTAAGCCGAAGTCAGACACTTAACCGACTGAGCCACCCAGGCGCCCCAAGACCTCTTTACTTCTAAAGCTATGTGGGCATCGACCAAATCTTTGAACATCTAGGATCTGTTATTCGATGTGGCTTCTAGATTAGGGTGGTTGCATTTCACCTAGGCAACTGAGGCTTTGTGTGAAGACAGAGAGGTATAAGCACTTTGGGAAGTGGGGGCCGTATATACTGAGGTCTTTGTGTTCTTTTGATAGTTTATTTGTTTCTAAGAATTTATCCATTTCTTCTACGATGTCCAATTTGTTGGCATATAGCTTTTAAAAATAATACTCTCATATGATTATTGATATTTCTGTGGTTCAGTTGTTATTTCTCCTCTCTCATTTGTGATTTTATTTATTTAGGTCTCTGTGTTCTTGATGGCTGTAAATGCCCCCACCCCGCCAAATCCATGTGAGCTGAAACTTCCCTCTTCCCTCCCCATTGACTTATTTTGTCACTTTGCTGATTAATCTTTTTCGGAGACTTTAAAGTCCACAGAGGAATGGGCATCTCTACACTTGAATTCTCTATTTCTCTTGAGAGCCAGTGATTTGTTCTGGCACATTTCTCTTTCCTGACCTTGAGTGTCACTGTCTCACTGTCTGGGACAGAAGTTTGCAAGGATCCTTTTGTGTTGCTGATTACTGCCAGCAACTTTGCCATTGTCACTGCCTTGCTAGACCTGATTGCTCTTGGCTTCTGGAAGATGTGGTCCCTTTCTTTTGTTACCTCATCATTTTCTTTGCCTCACACTTAGCAGGTTTTTGCCAGAGACACGATAATGACTGGCAAAATTTGTAGGTTTAACATTGGATTCTGAGGAAAGCTGGGCATATGGTCGTTTACATGGAATTAATTTTTGGAATACTATATCTTTACTACTAAAGGGAAAATATTATTATTTGCCTTCTCAGCTTAAAAATCTTCCTGTGGGGGCTTCGGTACCTGTCAGATACAGGCCTGTCCTTCACTGTCTGGCCCTACTTGTTCACACCCTCACCTATTCCCACTGTCTTTCCCGCCCACTCTCCCACTCATATGAAACCATTTACCTTTGATCAAAAGTGTTTTGTTCTTTCATACAACTGTGCCCCACTTGTTCACCTGACAAAATTCTCCCCTCCTTGAAGCGTCTTTTCAAGCATTTCTCTGAGACAGTGAGGGGCCCTTTCTCTTTGTTCTCCCAGCACTCTATCTGTACGTCTCAAATATACCATATTGTACCATAATTCTTTACCTGTAGGCCCTCAATTGGCACTAATGAGTGAATGATTTCAGATATCAGTGATTGTTTCTTCTCGGCAGATCCCCTAGACCCTTCATTACCAGTGGAGTTTGTAAGACATGGAGACATCATTCGGCTAGAACACAAAGAGTAAGTAAATTTGCTGTCTGGGATGAATGAGTGGTATGGGCACCAAAGGTAGAGGGTTCTTTTAAGCTGGAAATAAATAGAAGTCAGACTGGATGAGGCTCTAGTAAATAGAACAAGGCTGCTGTGCTAGAATGGGAGAGCCATTTTATGAAGGCTGATCAAACAAGCAGGCCAGTTTTGTCCACCTCTTTTGGCTTTGGGGAGTTCGAACTTTGAAGGCACTGTTCAGTTTCCCTTCTTCTAGAGAAAAAAAAATATATATATATATTTGAGTTATCCAGAGCTTCTTCTCAAGTGGCTGCCTTTAGGAAAACATAGAAGTCTGTTTCTGAGAATATGGCAAGCTAGTTTATTTAAGCAATGTTCTCACTGGAAATGACTAAAAATGCTGGAATGATATGAAAACATCTGAAAGCATCAAAGAGCTGACAGACAGTAGGGAGTTACCAGGCCAAAATCTAAGTGAAAGTGGGAATCCAGAGAAATGAGTGGGGTGCTGCAGCCCCTTCTGCCTTGACCCCACTTTGATCTTTGGTTTTGTCTGCCTTGAGAGAAAGAGTTGTAAATTCAAAGCTCTAAGCTCACTCAATGTGGTAAATTTATTAAGTAATCCTTCCCCTAAACTTGGAAGCCCAAAGGGCTTGAGCAGGGGGAGCAGGGATGAAGAGGGGCTATCTCTGGTTCCTGAAAAGTTGTAACTACCAATTGATCCTCACATGAATTTGTGGCCCAAATTAATTTTATCTGGATGGTCTCGATATCTTTAGGCCATGAATTTAAACAAACATAATCCTAGACTGGTAATATCTCCTAGATACCTGCCTAAAAGCAAATATAAATCCGCTTTTGGGAAATACATTGTCATCCATTCCCATAAATAGCTTTTCAGTGACAGTGAATAGTACATAGTAAAAAATAACTAAGCACACAAGGAAATAGGGCACCATGTGCAAGAGCGAACAGGAACAATAGATTGCAGAAGCAACCCTGCAAAAATTATGTATACAAGAATCATCAGGTACAGATTTTTTTTGAAAATCAGGGATTATGTATATAGAAAAGCTATAAGCAGTGTTTGGTTTTTGGTTTTTTTTTCCTATCCGGTAGGATTATAGACACTTTTAAATTTCACTTTGTTTTATAAACAAATTAAAAGTTATTATTTATTGTTAAGTTTTATTTTTGGAAATTTCCAAAATTTTTATAATGAACACTTATTGTAGATAAAAGTAAGAATTATTATAAAAGGCACAAAGCAAATAAAAGCTAAATTAATCCCCCTACTTACCCCACAGTTCCCCACTTTGTAAAACTGGTAATGAGGGTAGAAAGAGTAAATGGGAGGGAGGAGGCTTAGCTGGCTCAGGCAGGTATAGAATACAGATTTTAACTTCTTCTCCCCAAAGCTGCCTCATGAGTCAGGCAAGCTAAGTGTTTCAAAGCCACCAAATGTGATAAGTCATCCCTCTGACTGCTGAAGTTAACCCCTTTCTTGGCATGTAGTCCAGGACTCCTACCATCTGTCCTTCCTGGTTTGGGATTCTCTGATTCTCTGGGTATTTCTTGTAAGTAAGTAGGCAAGACATTCCTGATAAGTTGGATTTCATAGTTCAGATTCTAATTTTTCTTGCCCTAACAGATGATTGTGAATATCCTCAGTAAAAGAGGAGACACTGCATGTCTCTTTTTTCCAGGATGATGATATTTCTCTCTCTTTTAACTTCTAGGACTTCTCGGAACCTGCACAGTCACTATCATGAGGCCCCCCTGACCCGAAAGCACTATCAGGTCACTGGCTATGGCATAGTAAGTGAGCAACTGGAGTGTGAGTAGGATGTAAAAAATTGTGAGGCCTGGCTCAGGGCCATGTGGCAGAACACATCCTCCCTGGAATTCTGCAATGTTCGTAAGGATTGGGGGCGGCACAGGGACTCTTAACATAGGGAACGTTTTGTCTAAGTTTGCTGTGGGAAAAGCAACATATGCTTCCATTTGTCTCCATCTCTCTCCTCCCATGATAACCAGGCCATTCTTATGTTCTGACACTTAATAAATGTTACATATGAATACTATTTGGGTTTCTTTTAAAATCACATTGGAGGGGGCGCCTGGGTGGCTCAGTCAGTTGAGTGCCCACCTTCAGCTCAGGTCATGATCTCATGGTTTGTGAGTTCAAGCCCTGCATCGAGCTCTGTGCTGACATCTTGGAGCCTGGAGCCTGCTTCGGATTCTGTGTTTCCCTCTCTCTCTGCCCCTCCCCTGCTTGTGCTCTGTCTGTCTCTCTTTCAAAAATAGATAAACATTAAAAACTTAAAAAATAAGTAATAATAAAATAAAATCACATTGGACATAGAAGCCATGGATCCACAATATGATCCTAGGTGAATATATAAGTTTATCCTTTGCCAGATCCCAAATCTTCATTGGCTTTGTTTTTAAGGATTACTTGCCTGTTCTGCAGAGCGATGTTAATCACCACGTTATTTTGAGATTTTTACTACCTTGGGGTGATGTAGTTAATAGAAGAAGTTTTATACTTATGGCTTGGGGAGTAATTTGAAAACAAAACAACTTGTGGGCAGCTAGACTTAGGACCATCTTATGTTCCCTTGCAGAGGCTTTGGTGCAGAATCAGTAACGATTCTGCTAGGTGGACTTCCCAACCCTCTTTCTGTTTGCTCAGCCTACAGTACTGGAGCCACAACTCATCTTTTTCTTGCGGGTATCTCCTGAGGAGAATTAGACATAAGTGTCTTAATTTCTGGCTTAGATGAGTAAGTGTCCAGATGGCCAAGTAATGGGTGCAAATGACCCAAATCTATTTCTGTTGGTTCAGGGTGATGTCTTGAGTTTGGTTTAAGAGTAAAAACATATGTTTAGAATTTAAACTCTAGTCCCATGAAGTGAAGAATCGGACTGCAGGCTGTAGAAGTTACACTACTTTTCTTGGTTGTGATAGTGAGTGCTGAGGAATGTGTATCACTTGGGGTGTTGCTGTGTTCCCTTTCCCACCTTATCCATTGAGGCCCATTTAGTCTTTGACCTTTGTAACATGGTGGCATCTGAAAGGGTGGCCATTTCCCCTTCCTGACATGTGTTCTCTAAAGTCATCTTGCTTTCTTTGTATTTTTTCCTTGATTTACATGGCAGAATGGGACAGGAGACTCCAATGATTTCTGGCGGATTGAGGTTGTAAACAGAAAATTTGGAAACCGGATCAAAGTGCTGAGAAGTCGAATTCGACTCATCCATCTGGTCACAGGTTGTGTCCTGGGCTCCTCGGGAAAGGTCCTGCCCAAATGGTGAGTCTTTGGGGTACTGATGTCCCAGTTGAGGCTCATGCTTCTCCTTTCACAGTACAAGCAGTATACCAGAAACTTCTGTTTCTCCATTGTCAATGTTTACCTCATGTTTTTGTATTTAAAAAAAAAATAATTTTTTTTAAATGCTTATTTATTTTTGAGAGACAGAGCATGGGGGTGGGGTGGGGCAGGGAAGGGCAGAGAGAGAGGGAGACAGAATCTGAAGCAGGCTCCTGGCTCTGAGCTGTCAGCACAGAGCCCGACGCAGGGCTCACACTCACGAGCCATGAGGTCATGACCTGAACTGAAGTTGGACGCTTAACCAACTGAGCCACCCAGGCGCCCCTCATGTTTTTGTATGGTAAATAGAGGGAGAAAAGGCATCGGGTGTGTTATAGAGCAGAGAACTCCAGAGTCCCTTGGGTATTTTATGTGTACTGAGAGTTCAATGTTTGTTCATCTGGTTTGGACCTTCTAACTGCTCTGGACCTTCCTAAAGTGGGAATGCTCTATGCTAGATGACTTCTGTGATAGTCGTGGAATACAAGAGTGAGGTTGCTAAAAGCATAGCCCCTGGATTGAAAAGAACAGAGTCCTGTGTATTTAAGAGATTCAACAGTGCTACTCTGGTGAGTTTCACATCTTCTGAGAGACATCTGTGACTGCTTTCCACAGGGGCTGGGAGCAGTTGGAGGTTACTTGCACCCCATACCTAAAGGAAACCCTCAACTCTATCTGGAATGTGGAGGACCATATCAACCCCAAACGTGAGTGAACTTACTTCCTGGAAACATTTATAAGTAACTCTTATCTTAGAAAAATAAACCTTTATAGACTCTGCTGTCACTTTGTATCATTATTGCCATTTCTTGCCTTTTTTAAACTGAATCTCTTCACACGAGTTTTTGTATGAAGGTAGCTCCTTTCTCTTCCCATCCATGTGAACTTCCCGTCTTCCTTAAACTCTCCCTAAAGTGACCAGTGACTTCACTCAGGACCAGAGCTAATTTCCTCTTTTCATTTTCCTTGCCTCTCTCTGGATTTAATGCTTCGCCTTGACTGCCTGCAGTGCAGGCCCACCTCTCTCATCTCCTTCTGGGCTATTCTGTCCCCTGTACCAGGGGTGCTTCCCACTCTCAAGGCTTAGAGCAGGCTGGTGCTTTCCCTTTAGGCCCCTATGTAGAGCTCCTCCCCTCCCCACAGCCAGCCAACACTTGTACAGAAAGCGATGGCCACAGCCCTTGATCTGAGCCCCATATCTGTACTCCCAGGCTCCTGTTTGACATTTCTACATCAGTGTCATCTTCAACTCAGTGAATCTTTGGATTCATCATCTGTCCTCCCCAACCACCCCTTTCAAGCTTTTGCTTGATTTCCCTTCTCCATGCTTCCCATTTTACATTCTTCTTACTACCTAATTTAACCAACCAGCTAATTAATTCACCAATTAAACAACTCTTTAGTGAGTATGACGGGAAGACTGGGGGTCCCAGGAAGACACTGGTGGATGAGGTGGACTTGGCCCCTGTCCTCACAGACCTGCCTGGCAGGGAGAGCAGCATTTGAGGCTGTACCATAATGAAGGGTGATGGTGCCGAGAGCGGTGGCCACACCAGGGACAGACTGGGGACAGGCCTCATCATCTGTTGCCTTTGTGTTTCTCCAAATGCCTCATGAGTGCTTCACACAAGCTGAAGGCGGATGATCAAGAATTGGGTAAAGCTTTCTTCTGTCTCCTCAACACTCCTACCTACTGGTTAGCCAGAGCATCAGGAAGGCTGCACTCAGACTCTGGCCACAGTGTGGATGCCGTGGACAGCTGGGAGAATGTGCGACCAAGGTTTTCTTCTCTGTCATTTCTTTGCCTAGTGCCAAACATCAGCCTGGACGTGCTGCAGCCCAGTTTTCCTGAGGTCTTGCTGGAGTCCCACATGGTGATGATCCGGGTACTGTGGCCCCTCTCATTCGATGGCTTCTCTACGAGCTCTTGCCATCCACAAATTTGCATCGCAGATCAGGAGCTATGTATAGATCCACTGCCCCCTCATGGAGGACTTTGAAAGGGTCTTCACTTACAGTTTACGTGGTTTTCAAAGGCATTTCCCTTATCGCAGAATGATGATAGTGGTGATGATGATGATGATGATGACAACAGACACCAGTGCACACGTATGTAGCTCTTATGTGCCAGCCACCACTCTAAGCACTGCACGTGAACTGACTTATTCAGTGGTTATTACAGTCCTATGGAGATTATTGTCCCCAGTTTATAGATGAGGGAATTGGGGCACGGAGAGGTTAAAGCTGCCCAGGGTCACACAGCTAAGTGTAAGAGGTGGATCCGGGCTTCACAGCGAGGCTGGCAGAGTCAGTGCTGGTTACTGCTACACTCTTCCATTTCTAAGTGATTCTCAAATCTGTTCAAATGGCAGAGCTCCTGAAAGCCAGAGTGCTCTTGCCTGAAGAGCATGAGATGCTGATAGTTCATTCCATCACCTGAGGTTAGAATGAATTAGGATGAATAGCTAACCTGAGCATGTTGTTTAGATGCAGCATAAAATCCCTACCATGAGCCCCCTCAAGTTCCTAGACTTGGGATCTATTTAGGGGGCCTGATTGAGTCTTTTGCAGGTTTTATAAGATTCTTTGTTTGTACTTTCCATCATTGGTATCTGACAGCAGTCGTAGCTCAAAGGCGTAAGAACAATTGAGAGAAGAGAGCTTTAAGTTGAGAAAGTTCTACCCATTATCTTAACTTCTCCCCGTGTGTTAGAGAAACCTTGCTGCAGTGTGGATGTGTAGAAGAGACCCCTTTCCTTTGGCTTATGGAAACCAGTGTTCTGCAGGAATGGTGTTTAAGAGTCACTGTATTCCAAGTCAGGTTTGTGATTATCACTCCACCCACAGGGCAGCAGAGAGGTCTAGTGATTGTTATTTTTCCCCTGCTGAGCCGTTGTCAAGCGGACTTCCCTGGAAGTGATTTTATAGGCGGTACTCAGTAAATATAGTTGACTTCTTCCACCAGATTAAATTAAAAAATTCAGATTTTGTCATTTTTGCACATTGCGAGGTGATGACTTCACATCAAGTGATCTCTGGGTCACTTCTTCTCTGACTCTCTGCTTGTAGCTGTCACTGTGGCCTGATGACATAGCTCCTTTGAATATGTGCCTGTCAGTCAAAATATCATTCTAGGTCTGGGTAGAATTTTTTTATTTTTAAAGTTTTGTTAACTTATTTTGAGAGAGAGAGAGCACATGTGTGTGTGCGTGCGCACGAGCAGGGGAGGGGCAGAGAGCGAGGGAGACAGAGAATCCCAAGCAGGCTCTGCACTGTCAGCGCAGAACCTGACATGGGACTTGATATCATGAATCGTGAGATCGTGACCTGAGCCGGAATCAAGAGTCAGTCTCCCAGCCAACTGAGCCACCCAGGTGTCCTCGTCTGGGTAGAATTTTAAGACTAAGTCTAAATAGTCTCGTTTCTTCTTTCATTATCTAAGAGGTAGAGCCAAAGAATAAAAGGGCATAAGGGAGCTTTATTACTCAACCAATGCAGCATCAAGATGGGGAAAGAGATCAAAATAGTCCAGATGATGGAAACTGCACGGGAGAGGGCTTTTCTGCCAGCTGAGTGGAGGGCCTGAGTCCTGTGCAGAGAAGGCTGCCTCGTCTGGTGAGGTCAGCTGGAACGAGCCCACTCAAGGTGTTAGGCATAGAGAACAGTGTACAAATGTATATGCCTGTTATGCCTGTAATGGTTACAGACTTTTCCTTCCTTCCATTTCTTGGTTTAGTAAAGGAACTGGATTTCTGACATTAATGTAGTAAATAGGATGCCCCTGGTTTGTTATAGCTCTGGCTGGAGTCCTTGAGCCTGGGACTGAACTGCACTGGTTTGAAGGCATTCATTTCCCTCCACAGCTCCCTTGGGGTCCAGATTCATTCTTCATTCTGAGGCCCTTCAATGGAGAAACCCTGACCTAACTCACAGCATCTTACAACTGTTCTCAGGAAGTGCCTTCTCAATTTGTTCTGATAATGAGGCTGAAACCAGACCTGTGCTTAGTATCCAGGGTCCTGATCCTTTCCTTCTTGCCTTTGAAAAGCCCTGATTTTGCCGTGTAGAGGACAGTCTTAGCCACTGGATTAAAGGGGCTGAATCTTGTTCCTTCAGGCTAAAGTATGTATTCTCAATGCGTAATATCACCCAGAGGGTAAAATGTGTTCTTGGAGGGCAGAAAACCGTTAACTTTTTCATGTATGAAGCATAGGTAGTCATCCAGTATATAAACATATTTACAGTATTGCTGTGGTATTAAAATGTCATTGGAGGCATTTAGGAAAAAAATGTCTGAAAAGTTCCAGGAGGGGCAATAATGAAAAAAAAAAAAAAAAGTTGAGAAACACTAGGTTAAAGTAACTTTTTCCAAGTCTGGGAACTCATCAGATTTCTGGTTCTGTGTTTGAAATTGGGTTCCTGAGGGAACAAGTAAGTCGGCTTGATTTTGTATCCCCACTAGCTCTCTTCACACCTTCTCCTTGGTCTGAAAGATGGGTGTCTGTTTTGTGCTCACAGGAAACAAGTCTTTCATTCTCTTTTCTCTCAAGCATAGTGGGTCTGAATGGACTGTCTCTGGTGGAAATGGAGGCTTGTGTGTTGGGAGAAGTAAGGCAGTTGTAAGCAGGTGAACAGTGACTGAAAATGAGCACCTGACTTCCCTGCAGGGAGGGGGACAGTAGGGGGAGGTTTCCTTTGGACACTTGGCCATATGTCAGAGATGCCCATTGCTCACACTTCTGTCAGCTCTCGAGATCTCTGCCTTGACTAGCTTCTTTTTGCCATTTTCCTGCAGGGGAACAATGGTCTCAAACCCAAGGACAATGAGTTCACGTCCAAACCCTGGCACTGGCCTGTCAACTATCAGGTAGGGCTCAAGGCTAGAGTTTATCCCAGGAAATGGAGCCAAAAAAGAGGTCACTGAGACTTGGTTGGGTGGGGTGAGCTAGGGTAACTAGGCAAGGCCTTACCTGGCATGAGGTGGCTGGCCGACAGGGCTCTGTTTTTTGTCCTGAATCTGACCCACCTTCCCCGAGAGCTCATGTAGAATTGGCACTTTCTGAGCCTCCTGCCCAGGCTCCCTATCTGTGAAAGGTAACTGGTCTTCCCCCCACCGGAGCACGTGTGGCCTGGATGCACTGGGCCCTGGATCAGCAGGGTGTCCTCTGCCCCACAGGGCCTGCGCTTCTCAGGGATCAATGACACAGACTTCCGTGTGTATCTGCTTGGCAACCCGGTGAGTACCCAGCCCTCTCCCTGTGTAGACCTTCAGCCTGGGGACTGCGGCTTTCCTCTCACCTGCCCATTCTCCTTTCCATGCAGGTAGTTTGGTGGCTGAATCTGTTGAGCATTGCCCTCTACCTCCTCTTGGGGAGCATCATTGCTGTAGCTGTGCAGAGAGGGGCACACCTGCCTGCGGAGGTTGAAGGTTGGGTCCCTTGGGCTCTCCCTCCCCTGACCTAGCAGCTGGCTGGGGCCTATACTTCTGCTGGGCCATTCTGCCTTCAGCCCCCACTCTCTCCCTTCTTTAAAGCTCAGTCACCGAATGCCTATCCTCCCAACAGCCCTGTAGAGTAGAACATTCTTACCCCCATTTTATGGATTAGGAAGCAAAGGCACAAAGAGAAGAGACTTGTCCCGGAACATACACTGGTAAGTGTAGAGCTGAGATTCAAACCCAAGCAGTCTGACTTCAGAGCCTTCACTTTTTTTCTTTGAGACAGAGAGAGTGCGAGCATGAGCATGAGAGCAGAGGAGAGGAGCAGAGGAAGAGAGAGAATCTTAAGCAGGCTCCCATGCTCAGCATAGAGCCCAACACATGGGGGCTTGATCCCACAACCCTGGGATCATGACCTGAGCCGAAATCAAGAGTTCGATGCTCAACTGACTGAGCCACCCAGGTGTCTCCAGAGCCTTCGCTTTTAACCTTTACACTCTGTAGAGAGCTACCCACCTCTTCTCCTCTGCCTCCTCCCTGTTCCATGGCCCATCTTCTAGTGGGGTAGGGAGGAGCCCCTAGGGCACGGACTGCAGCCCCTGAAACGTTCCCGCAGGCTCTTTTTACCCTGTGCTGCTCCCTCTGTGAACAGCCACAGTCCTAGGCCCCCTCTGTCCCCCTCCATCCTCATCTCCAACTTCACCTCCCTCCTGCTGGCCGCTGCAAAGATCTGTGTGGCAGCAAAGGTGTGGGAGACGGAGGTGGGATGGGGGCAGCTACCTGTGGGATGTGAGCATCTTGGTTTCTTTAGAGGCTAGGCTGCCTCCTGCTGGTGTTTGGTGCACCTGCATGGGTGCCAGCCTCCCTGAGTGGGTAATGTGCAAGGCTCTCGAGGGCCAGCTGCTCCTCTCTTCCAGCTGCCTAGGCTTGCTCAGCATTCTCCAGATGAGGAAAGGCAGCCCGGTCCAGTCACACAGCAGGGAAGGGGCAGAGCTGGACAAGGACCCCGGGTCTCTGCCCTCTCCCTGGCTGTAACCTGGGCTGTGCTGCTTGGGGCCCAGGGTTGTCCCAGGTCCTGCTGCGAGGAGGCGGTCAGCTCCTGCTTGGCTGGATTCTCCATTACTTCCCGTTCTTCCTGATGGGCCGGATTCTCTACTTCCACCACTACTTCCCAGCCATGCTCTTCTCCAGCATGTTGACAGGTCAGCACTGCCTACCTGGACCTGGGGGAGAGGGGCAGAGGAACAATGCTGAGGGGGGTCTCCCTGATTCCTGACCTGGAGTGGCTCCTTCGTGCTGCATCCCAGAAGTCATCCTCTGACAGACTGGTGCTAGGTCTCTTCTTTCCCTTAGGTATTCTGTGGGACACTCTCCTGCGGCTCTGGGCCTGGAGCCTGGCCTCCTCTTCCCTGGCCAGGGGCCTGTATGTGGTGGGAAACCTGAGCCTGCTCCTGGGAACTGCCTACAGGTGAGTATTCCCCACTCCTTGCATAGCTGTCCCCCACTCTCCACCCACAAGTCTGATGCCTCTGCCCTGGATGCATTTTAGAATCCCCTGGGATTCTAAAGCACTCTGCTTTTAAACTCTGCTTTTAAAGCACTCCGGTAACTGAGCCCCACCCCCAGAGGCTCTGATTCCATTTTTCAGAGCTCCCCAGGTGACCCTAATGTGCAGCCAGATAGGAGAAACAGGGGCTAACTCTGCATTGTTTCCTTTTACCAGTAGGTTCCAGGTTTTATATGACCATGGCTCCCTACCAGACAGCTCTGGAGGAGGCAGGGTGAGGGAGAGGGTGGGAAGAGTGGTGTGGGCTGTGGCTCAGAATAACTGGAAGGAGGGTGTTTGGCAAGCCTCCCCTCCTCTCCCCACCTTCATGCCAGTCTCACAGATCCCCTATTGGGAGTCACCGGCCTTTAGTGCTGCCAGGGAGGCAGCATTAAAGCATGAACTGCAAATGGTGGGTCTGTGACCTGAGAGCACATGCACATTATAACATATACTCTGAGCCAAACAGCCATGACCAGACCCCTGGGCTGGTCTCTCCCTGGGGCCTCTTGGGAGGAGCCCTTTCCTTCATTGTTATTTTTTTTTTTTTAATTTTTTTTTTCAACGTTTATTTATTTTGTGAGAAGAGAGAGACAGAGCATGAGCGGGAGAGGGAGCAGGGGGCACAGAATCGGGAGACTGAGCAGGCTCAGGCGAGCCATCACCCGGCGAAGGGCCAGCTGGTCACCGAACCACGGGCATGACGATGGTGACCTGGCTGAAGTGGGACCGCACACAGGCAAACTTCAGCCGCGGAAGCCCCCTCCTTCGTGTCGTGAGAGGGGCGTCAGCATCTGCTAAGCTCTCAGACAACAGTGTGCCCAAACAGTGAACCCAGACAGACTGTGGTGACAAGAACAAGCAGATCTTGTAGGTGGAGAAGACCTAATGAACTCTAGTGGGGGGCGGGGGGTGAGGGGGTAGGGGGGTGGCTGAATTTCAAGGGTCTGTAAGGCCGCTTGCTGATGCCAAGGCACTGGATGCCACCCGCCCCCCTCTGGATTCTCTCTCACAGCTTCTACCTCTTCCACCCTCTGGCTTACGGGATGGTTGGTCCCCTAGCCCAGGATCCCCGAAGTCCCATGGCAGGACTAAGGTGGCTTGAATCATGGGACTTTTGAGGCTACTGCAAGGACTTCAGCCTGAGTCCAGGAACTTTCTGGGCATAGCCAGCTGTGCAGCCAGCCCTTGGACCCTCCCAGCTGCGGGCGAAGCTGCCCGAGGAGCCTGAGGAATTCTGCTGCCTTCCAGGACCGAGCTCTGGGGGCACACCGGGAACTTAACCCAACACAAGGGAGAGCCACGGCTCTCTCTGCAGAGGTCCCACCACTGGGAATGGCCCAGCAATAGAGAACACCACCTCTCTGGTCTGTTTCCCCAAGTGTGCAACATAAGGAGGGATGTGTGTGGGGGTGTGAGGGTACATGTGCCCATATACCTGTGGAATATAGACTGTGACTGTGGACAGCTGAGTGTCATAAACTCAAGAAATAGTCCAGGGCTACAGTAGTATTTTCTGGTATTTTCCTTCACACTGGATTTGGTTTGAAAGTAAGACCATCATAAATTCTCTGACCTCCAAGAAGGCTGAGCTCACCGACCCCACTCTGGGATATCACCAAGGCCAGAGCAGACGGGACTGTCCACGCTGCGCCGCTCTCCTCCCAACAAACAGAGCGGAGCACCTCTGGGCTGGAGGGCCGGCCTCCCAGCTGCTTCCCGGGTGGCAGCTGCTGGGAAGTCTCCAGAGCAAGGCAGCTGAGAGCTCACCAGCCCTGGCTTCCTCACTCTCAGAGTATTACGTGATGTCTTGTGGGAGGAATGGCACCCTATCCTGGGCTGCTCTGTGTTCGCAGGGCCTGCTTGCCAGAGGTGTTTCTTGCTACTGTCCTTTTCCCTCTGCATCCAGCCTGGCTGCGCCAGTGGGGCAGATGCACTCTCCTGATGGCTGGGAGAGCCTTTGGGGCCCCTTTCTCAGCAGCCGAGGGTGATGGGCAGCAGGGCAGGGATCTGTGGTGCCGGGCTGGGGTCCCAGTAGGCCGTGTGGCCCGTCCGGATTGATGTCCCTGTCACTCATGAGGTGTTCCTTTTACTTCTCTAGTCTTCCCCTGCTGACACCCCATTTCCATTTCATTCCCCTTCCTCTGTGTCACTGTTTCACTAATCTCTTTCCCCAAGGACCCAGAGCACCTAGAAATGCAGCAAAGCTTCTACTCTCTGCCACTTTAAAGCCCAAGGAAGCAGCTCAGAGCTAGCTGTTCCTTTCACTTCTTCCCCAAATAGAAGAGATTAAGGAAACCCTTGGGTGAGAACCGAACCAGCCCAAGGCCAGCTCCTCAGCCTGCCTCCCTCCCGCCAGTACATGACAGAGTATTTTGTCTCGGAGGGCTGTGATGCTTCCAGGTTTAATGATGAGGCTCTGCCACACTTCATCTTCCCTCCTCTGTAGCCCCCACCAATTCTGACAGGGTCAGAGCTCTTTAGAGCATCTCTGGGAGGCGGTTGCCACGGAGACTGGAAATTGGTCCCAGGGACAGACTGTGCTACCTACTGGGAGGTGGGGAGGGAAGCTTCTGGCCATCCTTAGCCGTTCGGACCAGCCATCATTAATGTTAATAGAGGAAATGCAGCAATGTCAAAAGCAAGGCAGGTTTGTTAATTAGATCTGGGGTGTGATGACCTCCCTCTCCCAGGGCTGCAGCCCTTTTGACTTCCCCTGGCAGGAAGTGCTGCCTGTGTGCTGAGTCTGGGCTGTGTGCTTAATTGCATTTCTGGAAGGAAAGAACAGGGATGGAGAACCTCTGCTTGCGCTTTCCACCGCACCGCTGTCTCTCCTCCCCAAAGGCAGAGAGTTGGTTTCTTCTGAGCTGGGTGGGGACAGCCATTTGGGTGGGCTCTCCTGCCCACCCAGGGCGAGTGCAGGAATCTGTGCTTGCCTCTCAGCTAAGAGCACTGGCCTGATGACAACTGGGAGGTGGCTGTTGTTCCCTTGCACCTTCTTCTTTCCTAATAGGAACTTGTTGGAAGGGAGGAACCCTGAAGGAGCCAGAGGGGCAGCCACTCTGGGGGAGGGTGGGGAATGAGAAAGCTCAGCCACCTTCCTCCCCGTGGCTCCCTCCTCATTTGGCCACACTGGGAATGAAGGGTTCCTCCATCTTTTCTACTATGTTCCAAGGATGAGAGGATTGCTTGCTCACTCCCCCCGCTTCCTCTTAGCCCAGATGAACAGACCTTTCTCTGGAGACGAGGCTGTGCGGGTGGACGCAGCTGCAAGTGTTCAGGTTCTGTTGTTGACAGATGCTGGGGAGAGGGGCTGTCGGGGTGGTGCCCTGAGTATGAGCTCCAGTGCCCAGGAATCGGCGGAAATGTGATCTGCCCCACAAACTTGCTGGTGGAGGAAGAAGATGTTTGTGAGCACAACCTCCAGCCAGCTTCTTGAGCCACGATTTTATATTAAAAAAAGGTTTCCACAGATAATCAGAGGCCATTTACTTTTGTAATAAATAGCCCTTGTTTTGAAAGCCATGGTGTTCTTGTTGTACTTAATTGAACCTGACTTTCCCTCGGGCTCCCAGAAAGAGAAGAATGTTTTGGGGGCAAGAACCGTTCCACCGTGTCCCGGTGTCTGAGGCCATTCTAATTTCAGCAAAGGCCCTGGCTGGGCAGGTGAGCCCCGTCACCCCGAGGGACATTGGGGCCCTCCCACGTACAAGGTTACTTGAGTAATGAGGGCTGTTCTTTTATTTAAACTTCTCCCAAAATAAGTCGGAAGCTGGACTGTTTCTCTGGTAACCTGCCACACAGTAGGGCAAGGAGAGTGGAGAGTAAGAGTGTCCATGTCTGAGACAGCCACACAGCCCAGCACTGTAGCAGCTGCCATTGTGCTCGCCAGAGGCCCCGTCTCGCAGGGGTCTCCTGTCATCGGGAGTGATGGCGAGCGTCCCAAGAGGTGAGCGCTGGTGTGTGTGGGGCAGTGGGTGGAAGAGGAGAGGAGTGGCACTGCCCTGTGAGGTGCAGGTGGCCTGACTCCCCCTCCCCCCTGAGACAAGAGGGGCTGGAGGAGGCAGGGAGGGGGATGTGCAGAGCTTCAGGGGAGGGAAGACGCCGAGTCCAGGCAAGTTAGGAAGGGACCAAACACACTTGACCGGCACAGCTTAGTTTACTAAGCACCAACACATCAGTGATACTTCATCCTCATAAAGGCACAGTGAAGTCAGTGCTGCTTTTGTCTCCATTCTACCCATGAGAGATTAAATTATTTGCCTCAACTCTTGTGATTAGTCAATATCAGGGCCAGGACTGGACACCAAGTTGGGCTTTTTCTGTTTCTCCGGCTTGGTCCTGGGATAGAAGCACCTTCCCAGAACAACAGACAACCCTGGGTCCCCGGGGAGAAGGCCTGGACTCAGCTCAGAGGTGTCCACGTTTAGCACGTTCCTTTGTGCATTCTGCTTAACGCATCCACAGTGCACCTGGGGCCCAGTGTTTCCTGGTGCACCCAGACCAGTGGTTTTCTGGGAGGGGAAAAAAGGCCTGGTGGGTAGCACTTGCCAATTTCCATGGTGTACATATTCTCACCATGGCCCATTTCAGGCTAGCAACCTGATGTCACTAGATGAGAATCTGGAAAGATCAGTGCACACCATCGGCTCTCCGAGGCGATCTAAGAGCCAGCTCCAGTATGCCAGTACCAGTACACCAGTCAGGAACCACTGACCCAAACCCAGTGACCTTGGTTTGGTCTGAACTACGGATAGAGCTCTTGGTCATGGTCCATTAAAGTGAAGGGGCAGAGGAGCACAGAGGTCCAGAGAACAGGCTGGAGTCAGACTTGAGGGCAACTCCTGGCCCCACCGCTTACAGCCATGTGATCTTGGGCTAGTTACCGAACCCCTGGGCTTCTGTTTCCTCAACGGTATAACCAGATTGAAACAAATGGTACCTTCTTGGCAGAGACAGTGTGAAGACAAGGAGTAAGTGACGCAAAGAGCCTTGCACAGAGTTGGGACAGGAGTGCTCCATGAATGCCAGCTCTGTCACTGTCTACTGTTGACAGTCCACTCAGTGACAGCACTGGCTCTAGGACAGCACTCAGCTCTCCTCTGTTAGCACCTCCTGCCTGAGTCATGGCAGATGCCAGGCAAGGAGGGGAGATCCTGGGAACTTCTGATACGGACTCAGACCTTCTGTCTCCTGGAACCTCCTCTCCCCTCTCTCCCACTGGCCCTGCAGAGGCCCAGCTAGTTTCTCCAGCCTCTTCTTCCAGGGAAGCAGGGATTACAGTGCACTTAACAACCCTTCTCCTGGCTCTAGAATTCTAGGCAGAGTGAGTGCTGACTCTACCACTTACCAGCTAAAACCATTAACTGCCATGAACTAACTTATTAGACCCAGACACTTTCTCCCAAAGGAGAAAGGAAGCAAGAAGTTCTCAAGTAGAGACTGTTGCCAGGAAATGCAGACTGGGTAGAGTGGGAAACCTTAGATAAGCCAGGTGGCCTGCACAGAGCACAGAACATCTGGGCACTGAAAGGTGAAGCTCACCAGAGACATAATATGGCCTTCTCCCCCCTGACCTGCTGACCTGGCTGTAGGGTCATCGGATACTGAATGAGAAATCTAGTCCCCGATCTCAGACTCTTTAGGACACAAGCTAGGCCTTCTAGCCTGGCTCTCCTGCTCAGCCCAGAGACCCCAGAGATGTGTGGGGAGGTGGGGAAGAGAGGAATGGGACACACCCCCACAAACTCCTGGGCATGGAGCCTCAGGCTATTCGTGACCACTGGCCCTGAGCACCGCCTTGTGTCCATGGAACGAAAGGAGGTGGGCCAAAAGGCCCCTAGAGACCTCAGTACTCAACCCCCTTACCGTATGCTGAGGACACTGAAAGAGAAGTAGGCAGTCAGGCTGAGAGGAGCTGGGCTCTGAGACTGGAAATGATGAAAGATAAATGGGGGTTTTGCCCTGCAAAGCCCGGGCCACTCACACTGGGGTGGGACCGGGGGAACTTTGGTGCTTGAAAGAGAGAGGCTCAGGCCTGGCAAGTGGTCAGCTTCACACCCTGAATGGCAAGCAAGAGATCGCACTACCTGAACTTCAAGTTAGAGGATGAAGTAGTACTTCCGTTTAAGTTTTTTGAAAGTCTATTGAAAGTCGTGGAATAGCATGTTGGCACTTAACTCCCTCAATGTCCAGGTATTGCAGTGGTCACTCCCGCTGCACCCCAGACCTGGCCCTGGCCAGCAGAGCTGGGGTTAGAACTGGAGCTCACAGATTGCTAAAGATGATGTCTCAAGAACACCCAGCCCTGCCTGGAAATGGCTGCAGTCTCGGCCCTGTCCCTAAGGCTGAGAGCCCTGGTGGCCCCCAATGTGCAGGGATGGGGAGAGCGGATGCCTCAGACCCAGAGCTAGGGCAGAGAGCCTCTCCAGCCTGGGCCTGGTCACACAGGCAGGTGCTGGGCTTCCCCTGGTCTGATTTCCGGGCGGAAGGAAGGAGAACCTGTGCCAAGGGGGACTAAGTCTAATGCCTCCGGGTAGCGCTTGAGGGAAGCTTGTGGAGAGGTGTCACATGCAGAGCCTCCTAAGGTGATCAAGTTCCACTGGGTGCCCTAACCAGCAAGTGGTGATATCATCACCAGTTTCCAGATGAAAACCTGAGGCCCAGAGAGGCTCGACGTTTTCTGTTAAGCTCTGAAGCCCAGGCATTTCCCAGGCCACCAGGTCGTCCCTGGCCACAGCCGGTTGCCCAGAGATGAGCGCCTTGACGGACGGAGGAGGGCGGGGGCCGCGGTTGCTTTAAAGCGCCCCAGGCGGGCGGCGCGGGGCGGGGCGCTCTCGGAGCCTCGGGGCGCGCAGGGCGCAGCGGCCGGAGCGGGGTCCCCGGAAGCGCCAGTCCGGCGGGCACGGCGGGGCGCCTCCACCTAGGGCGGGGAAGGAGCGGCGGCTACACCCCGCCCGGCTGAGGCGCGGGGGGCCGTAGGGGGTGCGGAGTGGCCCGCGTCGCCGCGGAGATGGCGCGGCACGTGCGGTGACGGTGCCCGCGCCCCGAGGGTCCCAGCCTCGCGCCCCGCGTCCCCGGGCCAGCATGGAGCGCCCGGAGCCCGAGCTGATCCGGCAGAGCTGGCGGGCGGTGAGCCGCAGCCCGCTGGAGCATGGCACCGTGCTGTTCGCCAGGTGAGGGTTCCCCGAGCGCCCCGGGGGTGCGGGTGGCGGGGTGCCTCGCCAGAAACGGGCTCCCGGCGGCTGCACCGGCGCCGGAGGAGGAAAGATTGGCCCTCTGCCTCGGCGGCGCCGGGGCGCTTCCAGAAGTGCGCCAAAGGAGCGAGCGCGGCGACGGGTGGCGCAGCCCCTCCTGCGCTTCCCCGGGCGGTGGGCGCAGCCGTGGGGGGTGGGGGGGCGGGCGGCTGTCCTCCCCTGCGGATCTCCTTACACTCTGGCCAGCGGGCTCTGCTCCCCGCGCTGCGCCCTCTCCCTGGCTCTGTTCCTGAGTGTTTCTTCCTTGGGTGGTGCCTGAGGGGTGCCCCGAGGGCCCGTGAGGGGAGGGTGTGCCTGGCTCCCAGAGGGCAGGCACTGGCCAGGCCCTAGGAGTGCACACTTCAGGCCGCCAACAGAAGGATAAACCTTTCGGAGGAAAGGACCAGGCTGGGAGGAGAGAACAGCCAGGGAGGGGACGATACACGCCCACATCTCACCCCTGGGGAGACGGGGAAGGGGTTGCCCAGACCCAAGGGCACGGAGGCCAGTCTTCAACCTTACCTCGAGAGTCTCTAGGTAACCCCTCTGTCATCACCAGAGCCAATGCTCTGTCACCATGGTTTTTCAGGAGCCTTGGCTCCCAAAGCCAGCCTGGAACTTCTGAGGAGGCTTTTGCAAACCACCACCTCCCCTCCCCCACCAACAAAAAGGGAAAAGGGGAGCCCTCTGTGGCTCTGCTGCTTCTAAGCTGTGTGACCATAGGCAAGTTACTTAGAGTCTCTGTGCTGTCAGCCTGGGATAACAGTTATACCTACTGCTTAGGATTGTGAGGGATACAGAAGTTAACTACGTGTAAAGTATTCAATGACCAGTAGGTGTAAGGAATTCTCAGTAGTATGGCTATCATCACTGGCCCAAGCCCCCCCAGACATGATGAGACTCAGACGTTCTGACCCAAGAGTGGAAGAGACAGAGACAGAGACAGAGACAGAGAAAAGACAGAGAGACAGAGACAGAGAGAAGGGCTTTCCTATTTGAGGACCCCTCCCTGTCCCAGCCCTCTGAACTGTTTATGGAGGGGCTTCTCAATGCTGGGTCCTGTGAGAGGCCTAGAGACTCACTGAGGATGCCCCTCAGAGCCGGTGGAGGAGGAGGGAAAGGAGCACTGGCAAAGATGGCAAAGGGGTCAGTGCCCGGTTGGTGGATGTGTTCTAGGTTTCTGCTGAATCCCTGCACCGCCCACCCCCCCCCCCCC